CGCTTTTTTTATCGTGCACTCGCCCGCAATGTTTGGGTAATAGAAAATTCTCCCAAAAGTCCGGAAATCTCCTGGGTTCATAATAGTTCTCTTTCCAGGGAAGCTGATGATATTTTTTTATTTATTAGGTCTCTGTTTTGCAGAGCCAATCTAAATATTTTGTTCGTTTTTGCAGATTATTATTTAAAATTTTCTTAAATTTCTACTTATTATTTATTTCTAAATTTCTTATTTAATTGTTTTAGGATAACGTTAGCGCAACGAGTTCGTTGGCGTCAAATCTTCGTAAAGCGTATACGAACGAATGGGCGGTTCGGATTGCTGGCGGCTCCGAAGAAGAGGCAACGCGACTGGCCGCCAAGTACGGGTATCTGAACTTGGGTCGAGTGAGTTCTTTATGATTCCAATTCAATCTGCTAAACAAGGAAATTTGGTGCACAAGTCGTCCAAGCGTTCCCACCCCATGTCTGTTCAGCGCTAAATTCAATTTTCACCTCAAATCAAATCTTGTCGCTTCTGGGCGCCTACCCCACCGCCGCCAGACCGAAACATTCTGAAGTCACTCACTGGTGCAAATCGGGTCCTATGCGCATATAAATTTGCTTCGTGGGCGATGAGGGGGTGAGGGGAAACAGTTCCCCGGAGGTCATTCTAATTCGTATCCATTTCAGATCATTCCGGGTGAAGAGTATTTTTTGTTTCGTAACGTCAATCAAAGAAGTCGGTCTGCAAGGAAAACTCGAAGTCTCCAGCTGAATCGGATCTCCCACGAGCCTGAGGTAATTGAGTGGCTTCTTAATAAACCTAAGTAACGTAGCTTGAAGTTACAAGCTGCGGATAAGAAGCAGCTTTCAGCTGCAAGGCGTTGAGTCGATGTTTTTACGAGCTTGCTGCTCTCTATGCGTGACGAACACCCTGCCCCGAGGCTTTCCCTCTGGCTGTTTTCGGCAAATTGTTCAGAGAAAAGGTTTCATATCCGAAAACGTTCGAGTTCCGAAGTAAGGGGAGAAGGGCAAGAGAATCGCAAATTGCCGCTTCGTCGCGCGCGGCATGGGCGCGACGTTCTTCATTTGCACTACCCTTTCGATTGGAGCATCGGATTTCATTAGACAAGTATGCGAAGACACCTTATGTCTATTTTTGGCCAAATCTCGACCAGTACCACCTAAAATTGTCGTCATTAGCGGGCGCGACGTCGCACGCGATGCTCACTGGCGCGGCGAATTACGATTCTCCTGCCACATACCACGAATTAACGCATATTTGTTCTCGTTGGGGTGAAAAGATGATTTTACCAGAAAACTGGTTAGGAAACCCACTTTTGAAGAAGCCTTAAAATAGTCACATGACATGATGGATGTCAGTAGAGTCCACTCCCATAAGTCAAAAACTGACTGCAGAAGAAAGCTTTTGCAGATTTTTTTTCGTTTTTGCAGATTTTTTTGCGTGAAAGCTTTGGTATTTTGCAAGGCAAATTTGAGAATTCATCCCTCCATCTATCATAAGGCATGGGTTTGTGTGCTTCGCACGTTCACTTCAAGAAGCGTACTTCAGATTCTCTGGATGGAGCAGCAAGTGGCGAAGAAACGCGTCAAAAGGGACTATCGACAGTGGACACGATTACGGCGAGCACGACCGATTAATGTGAGATCATTGAGCATGAAAGTTCAAAATCATTGCTTTTCGAACCTATTGACCTTTTAGGAGAACGATTTGAGTTTCGGCGAAGACGAGACGCTTGTCAGCAAGTCACGAAATCGGAAGCAACCGGATCCAAATGATCCGCTGTGGACCGATATGTGGTATCTGGTGAGTTCTCTGGGTCCTCCTACTTTATAGGGTAATAAATTGCCTTGAGTCCTCCAGAATCGTGCTGAAATCACTGGCAACTCCAAGATGGACCACAATGTCAAGGAGGCCTGGGACCTTGGCTATACCGGTCGTGGAGTCGTGGTAACGATATTGGACGATGGCCTAGAGCGAACACATCCTGACATCGCTCCCAACTATGTAAGGGCTTTAGGGACTCCTTGATTTCCTGGTCCTAATTGGGTCGATTCCAGGATGCTCGTGCCTCGTATGATGTCAACGACCGCGATGACGATCCGATGCCACGTTATGAGTATTCCGATGAAAATCGCCATGGCACGAGATGTGCTGGCGAGGTGGCTGCCATCTTCAACAACAGCCTGTGCATCGTGGGAATCGCTTACAACGCCCGGATTGGAGGTAAACATAAAAACTCAAAAATAGGAAACTCAATTTCGTGGGAGGAGGGATTTCAGTGGGACTTTGGAACAAATCTCGCCTTTCTATCAGGTATCCGAATGCTTGATGGGGATGTGACGGATGCTGTGGAAGCTGCGTCGCTGGGCCATAACTCGGACTACGTTGATATCTACAGGTAAGCAGATTCTGCGCTCTATCGAAAAAAATTGACCCGATCAGAATGTCTTGGTTTCAGTGCGTCGTGGGGACCTGATGACGATGGCCGAACCGTTGACGGTCCCGCAAAGCTGACGCGAGCTGCTTTCGAGCGAGGTATCCGGGAAGGAAGACGTGGGAAAGGCTCAGTCTTTGTATGGGCTTCGGGAAACGGTGGCAAAGACGCCGATTCGTGCAATTGCGACGGTTACACCAACAGGTACGTACGCTTTGGGATTCTTCTCCTGTCTTTCCTGTTATGTTACTTTCAGCATTTACACCCTATCGATCTCGGCTGCTACTGAAAATGGCAACATCCCGTGGTATTCGGAAGCATGTAGTAGCACATTAGCCAGCACTTATTCGAGTGGTGCAACTGGTGAGAAGATGATCGTCACCACTGACTTGCACCATGCCTGCACCAACACGCACACGGGAACGTCAGCTAGTGCTCCGCTGGCTGCAGGAATCGTGGCGCTGACGCTCGAAGCTAATCCGGACCTCACTTGGAGGGATTTGCAGGTTATTATCAAATCTGTTCTTACGAAAAAGCGGAAGGCAAAGGCGGAATTGAGGGAATCCGATAGAGAATTAAGGTCACTGAACAGCAAGGGGTGCCGTTAGAGAATGGGAATTATACTGAAGTGATCAGGGACGAAGTGGAAAATTCTAGAGTGGGGAAGCAGGATCTTTTTTGGGATGGTTCTCTAAATCACTAGCAGGTCTGTTGGCATCAATCCAGGATGATCGGATATTCCAGAAGATGGCTGGTAGGGCACTCAAGCGCTTTCGAAAGCAAATTTAGCTCGCTCCCAGGTAGCTAAGTGCCCTTCTGCCCAACCTTATCCGCTTATTCTGCACCTTTTCAAAGTCCAGTGCGCGAATTGTTCGATTTGATTAAGCGGCTCGACATCTGGAAATAGAAGACGGGCTATGAGCCCTGGAGGGTAGGCGCTGTGATGAGCACGGGCGATCACGCGAAGGCACTGATATTTCTGACAAGACCGTGTGCCACAGCCAGGGCACGTCCTCCCGATGGGAGAAATTTTCGGAGAATACGACCCCCCCCCCCGAAGTTCCTTCTCTTCCACAACCTCCTCTCTTTCCCATCCTACCTGCTATCCCACCAAGTTTACCCAGCTTCCAACCATATTTTCCGAATTTTCCCAAAATTTTGCGGTCAAGGGAGGGTTCCGCTGGGATTATCCAGCGTACGACGTACTCGGATACAGAAAACTTGCATAGGGCACTGAAAACCATGGAGAAGTAACCGCTTTTGGCTCACACTGAGGGTAGAGTTGATTTCGTCTAATAAAAAGGTTTGTGTTTGAGACTCAAGGAAAGGTTTGTATTCTGAATGATTGTATTTCAGCATATCGTGATCCGAGCTGCAAAGCCAATTAATCTTCGTGCTGGTGACTGGGTGACGAATGGAGTCGGTCGGAATGTTTCTCACTCCTTTGGCTATGGTCTGATGGATGCTGGCGCTATGGTGCAGCTAGCGCGAAATTGGACGACTGCACCCGAACAGCACAAATGCAGGCAGTTCTACCCAAGTCGTTTCAAGTAAGTGATTCCCATCACACTTACGGAGTTTCTTTCGTTCTCCCTCCTACACTCAATTTTCAGGACCATCCCTCATGGTAATCGACTTCAACTACAGCTTTACACGGACGGTTGTGCTGGTTCGCCAGATGAACAGGTTGTGTATTTGGAGCATGTGCAGGCGATTATCACATTGAAAGCACCGAAAAGGGGCGATATACAGATCTACTTGACAAGTCCCTCAGGTAATTTTTAGTTGGAGGAGCTCAAGTATAGACCGAAGTGATTAAGCCTCTTCAGGAACACGCTCTACTCTGCTGACCAAACGAGCACGAGATACGAGTCGAGCTGGGTTCATTGAATGGGCTTTCATGACTACCCACAGTTGGGGTGAGCTCGCGGCCGGACTCTGGACGCTTGAGGTCGACAACGATGGATGGGACGGTGAGTAATTTGTTGGGGCAGGTGTGGATCTTGCTGCCAAAGATATCCAGAATACCCACGGCGTACTTATCATATGGGCGGAATCGCTGAAACGATACACTTTCCCACTTTCCTCATTGGTGCATTCTTCTTGTTTGCTAATCTGAAAGGTCATAATAGGAAAGTCATCGTTTAAGGCAGACTGCGCGATAAGTCAGCAGAACGAGCGCAGGTAGCGGGGTTAGAAACATAAGTGTATGTGCTAGTCAACTCCACCCCCCCCCCTCTGAAAGAAAAAAGGAGAAAAAACCTTTGGAAACCTTTGAATAAGGCCCTGCTTATGCCAAGCGAAATAAGAAGTATCGCTGCGGATATCGGAGGGGCCAGAGAAAGCAGCGAGAGAGTATGCAAACGAGCAAGACAACAAATAGTTCTATCAATATGGACGGAGTCACGTGAAAACCTTGTGCCTTACTGCCGCAACTTTACCAGTTTTCGAGTAAAACTCATGGAGGGTTGTTTGCTGCACTCCACACTACCTCTACGAGAAGAGCTTAGACATTTATAAGTGAACAGTCGGATCGACCAGTTTCGCCGGCCGATCCTCTTCCTGCGTGTGGAGTGATTCTCCCCCCCCCCCGCACACATTTCCAAAAAATAGAGGGCCAGTCGGATCGGCCGGCTCGTAGCAAGCACCGCCCACCTGTAGAACGCCCTGCTCATAATGGGTGTGTCTCACCCATTTCGTCCAGCAATTAATTTCCTATCGTTCTCACATTTTCCGCTCTCGGGACTCTTTGGAACCGAATTACGAATTTTTGAAATATGTAGCTCACAACTGTGCGCACGCCCCGCCCACAGTGGGCGGGGCTTAGCTTAGTTCATGTGTGTTCCGTACATCTTGGCCCATGCCCTACCCAACCCACCCTTGACCCGGTCCCTCCAATGGCTCTTCAGGTGATGCCGAATTCTCGGACAGACGCACAGACACACTTGCAACAGACAGACAGACGTTGCAGTCTATAAGAAGTAGGATCGTGGACTCTGCCATTGAATGACTCCGCCCACCCCATCTCAATGAAATGGCTCCTCAACGGGTTTAGCACTACCTATTATAGTCTAATCCGTTTCAGATGCCGAGCTGGTGAAATGGGATCTGGTTATGTTCGGCACTGTTGACGAGACAACTCAATACGGTGGTGGCCATAACTCAGCCCTAATGGCCAGATCACTGGCCCATATGGAAGAGGTTCGGGCCGGCGTCAAAAATGCTCCGTTGCATGCTCGCCTTGCCTCGATTCTGCTGCCGATGCTGATTCTTCTACTCCGATTATGATGATGACGATGTGATTGCTGAACGCTATCGAATCCCTAGTGGCCTTACGATTCTTTCATAACGATTCACCCTTCTATATGATAAGGATAGTGCTAATGCTGTGAGGATCAATCTTTGGCTATTACTACTACTATAGTACAAGTCTAAAAGAATCACTTTAGTTTGTAACACTATTTGATTCGTATACTTATTTCGTTGATCTCTTACTGAAGGGAAGCAGTGAACATTCCGCGCTACGGTTTCCCCCCACTTACCCCATTGTAGTAGAAGATGCGATCCCTAGGATGTCACCAACTTCATCACGATCAACCCAACACAGAATTCTGTAGGATATTTCACGTGCGCGCTACACTTTCAGTTTACGGTCCCCGTTTCATTTGTGATTTTACCGCTTCACTTTCTTCCTTCGTTCCTCGACCCATACGTCGCCATCATCTTCCTCCTCTACTGCTCTTTGTATTTCCCTTCGGTCTGCCAATCCAATTCTGATATCTTCCCCTAATTCTTCCTCGACCCATTCCTTTTCATTGAGCCTGCACGTTCTCTAGTCGTTAACGTCCGTTTTGTGTGCGTTGTTTCCTTTGATATATGTAGAAATTTTGAAGAGCTTTATCATTCCGTACAGTGCAAATTCTTTGTGTGTCTATGTTCTTGAAATTGAAGATGATAAATAAGCATAAATTCATCTTGCTGACGTTGTCTGCTCGTGTTTGGCACAGCGCCATCAAAGGCGAAACCCGGAATCATTCGCCATCACAGTGGGTTAGGGGTTCGTATATAGACGACAAGGTTCTGAGTAATTCAGTAGAGAAGAAAAAAAGCAGAAAAAACACATGACACCTGCTTCAGATTGAGCCCCATTTCGATGACAGTTTTTACATGCCAACTTAACTCCACCTCCAACGCCCTCATCCGCGCAGCTGATTCCCCGTTTAAAACTCTACCACTGTGCAAGTGAGAATTTCCATGCTTTTTCGTCCTGTAGCTTCTTTTTTCACGAGAGGCGGTCTTTGAAGGCGGAGTCTGGAGGCGGGGTCACTGGAAGAAAAAGGGGCTCACTGGACCTATATTGTGCTGTAGCGCCCCTCCCTTACAATTTTTCGCAGCGAAACTTTACAAGGTTGTTTGCCGCGGACCACACTACCCTCCCGACGCTATATTTTCAACTTCTGTACCTCGAGCTTAAGAGCGTCTTTTCAGCACAGTTGATTTCCTTTATTCTCTTAAAACTGTTGAATGGAAAGCCGGGCAAGCTCTCCACCCCTCCAGAACGTGAATTAGAACTCTGAGGGAGAGAAATTCCGAAAATCGGAGGATAAGCAAGTGAGTTTCACACTTGCTGGCTTCACAAGTCATTGCCAATCGCTACGATTCTGAAGATGGAGGTAATGGGCGTACCCCAGAAGGGAACGGTCATTGCCAGAAGCACCTCTGTTGCCATGCTCTTTGCTCCATACTTACTTCATCCCCTTCGCCTGTTTCATCCCTTCCTTATTTGGAACAACTTCGCAGAAAGCTCTCTTTTGGCGTGCATAGTTTCACAGCATAAGGTTCTCTGCCTCGCCTCGGCAGAGGTAGGAGCTCCGTCATTCCGAAACACCCTCCAACCCTAGCATATAGTCCAGCCTGGGTTACCTTATGGACGGGCACTGTTATAAAGATTGGGTCGGCCCATAAGTAATGGCGTTTTCTTCTCAATCGCGCTAAAGATGAAAAAATTTGCTATTGAGCTATACACTATTTTGCAAAGAATTCGTTGCCCTATACGACAGTCTCCTTGATTTTCTCAAAGTTCCTCTTTCCACTAATATCCAAGCGCTCAAACTGGAGTGTCAGGTCGACGAAATCGAACATTTTCAAAAGCTTCTCGTTTTTACCTTCATTTGAATGGATAAGTCCAAAAGTTAGTGAATGGCTTCTGCAGGCAGTCCCTCCAGTGAGATGGCTTCTGCAAGGCAGTCCTCCCAAGGCAGGGTCCCTCAACGCGACAAAGTTTTGATGGGGTTGAGATCTTTTTCGCTGTTTTATTTTACAACTCAGCAAACAATGCAAGCTGACCAACAATATAATGAAACATAAACAATATAATAGTCACAACATTGTCCCACCTAATGGGCAGGTCAGCGATTCCCTTCTCGCGGAACTGGGGAGATTGGGTAAGAATGCCAACGACGCACTTGTTCACGGTGTCATAGTTTTGAGGAATCGTTTATTTGCTAGGAAAGCCTTGAGGGGCCGTAACAAGTGATAATCTGAGGGGACAATATCAGGTGAATAGGGACAGTGTCCCAGCCAAGCTCCTCCAATTTTGCACTGGTCTCGTTACCTATGTGAGGCCTAGCGTTGTCATGGAGGAGGTGCACAAAAGTTCGTCTGGGCCGGTTTTCTCGAACGGCTTCCACAAGTTTCTGCAGCTGACCAGCGTAATAGGGAGCGATGTGACCTTGCTCGGGTCGTATCGTAGTACAGGCATTCTTTCGAATCCAGAGGCAGCAAAGGAGTGACCTCTTAGGGTGGAGGTCGATTTGGCTTGTGTCTCTCGGCTGTTCTCTTCGCGGAGAGCCAGACGACACGGTGCTTGCTAGCGTCGTAGAGGATCCAGCTTTTATCTCCAGTAACTAGGTCATCCAGAAACTCCCTGCGTTGTGGGCGAAGAAAGAGAGAGTGACAATCCGGGTGTCAATAGCCCGTACCGCATGCTGTCGGTCAAGACATGAGGTATCCATCGAGTCAGCATTTTTCTGTATCCGAGAGCCTGAAGGTGACCGACGACTGTTGATTTGGCACATCCATGTCTCGTCGCAAGACTGCGTGTGTTAGCTTCCGGATCCTCTTTGACGGCGTCGAGAATGACGGAATCGTCGACGGCGAGGGGGCGTCCCGACCGAGGCTTGCTTCGAAGTCCGTGTCTCCCTCCTGAAGGGGCAAGTGACCAGCTGATGGGAAGCGGGTGTCTTGCCCATACGCTGGTTTGGTCTGTTGCGAACGGTTGCCGTCGCTCCGGTGCCTTCACTTCTGCGCCACTTGTAGAAAATAATGTATCAAACATGGTCTCGTGGAATCGACATCGTAATTTAAGCTAAAAGGAGGAAGCTGACGCCTATATAGAGGGGGGGCAAGAAAAGTCACTTCGACCGAGTCACATATCAGCAAAGTTTTCGCTGCCCAGAGAGAAGACGTGGACGAGTACCAGGGCGGAAGATACCCAAGATGTTCCTATAAGCAGGAGCTGGCTCTCGCCCATCACCTTCATGTACACCAAAATATGAAGTCATCTCCAGTCGCAGCCTGACTGGAGAAGACCTTTGGAATTCATGTCACCTCCAAACAGCTGCGAAACTTCTAGTGTGGAGTCACCCATGGGTAGCTACCTGGAGACCAGTACTCTCGATCTGGAAGACCTCCAACATCGAGCAGCTCCGACAACGTCGCTACGGTCTAGGACATCATCTTCACCACAGTCGCCAAGGCGCGGGTTGATGGTATGGACCGGAACCTGGAATGGAAAGACCAATATTTTCTTCGTGGACCCCGGACTGAAGGTGAGCGCTGGCGGTTACATCGAGCAACTCGTGAAGAATATCCTCCTCACATGTCGTCGCCTTGGAAACTTTGTACTGCTACAGCATTGGGTGCCACCACATGGAATCGAAGGGCGTTGGAGAAACTCTCGCCTACTTGGAATGGAAGGGGGCTGAGTACCTAAAGAAGATGGAATATCCAAGTAGGTCACCTGACCTGAATCCCCTCAATTACCCGGTTCGGGCGGAGTTCAATAGGGTGGTCTACGGTGGCGGAGAAATCTCGCTGATCTCAGGCACCACATCGCGGTCGCGTGCCAGAATCTCTCGATGGCGCTCGTCCAGAAGGCTGTGGCGGAGTGTCATGATAGTATTTAATATGCTCTTTAATATGGTGGTAAAAATGTCCGATCAGAATTTAATAAAGTGTAACTTATAGCGCCTCGAAAGTCAATGAAGAAAAGTGACTTTTTTTGCCCCCCCTGCATACCCATTACGGAGAAGGTTCTAGAATGTTCCACCACTACCAAATGGTGGATCATTAGTATCGATCAAGAATCGAAAGTTCTGGAACTTTCAAGTATCAAAATTTTTTGTTCAACTAATACTTCCTTAGAACAAAGGTAATTTTTAGAGATATCACAGGAGCTCCATAGCAAGTACCTTATGTGACAGCTCAACTTGCGACAATATGAGATCTGGATCAACCCATTTCCGGCTTCTAGATGCCGTTTTGCGAGCTTGTTCTCACTTCCCTTGTGAAGAGGTGAAGGCATTTTATGAAAATTTGTAGTTGGTTTTGGAAGTAATAACCCAGCGGAGCCTTACTATCTTCTGCTTTGAGTTCTAGATCTCTTAGTTGCGCTAGTGTAGACGCACTCGGAATCTACGTGCGTATTTACCAGGAATGGGAAAAAGTGCTTGGTCCCATGCGGCAGACATACGAAAAGTCGGCTTGACGTGGGAGTTCTAACCAGTCACTTCAAAAAATCCTCACCACCCCTGAAACTCGCTGAGCAGTTTGTCGTGCAATGAGATTTGTACACGAGAGGAAAGCCTGGATTTATGAAATCGCTTCAGGCACACTTCCCCTCATTTGTTTACATCTTGCAACATGCTGTGGCTTGCTTAATATTTGTTTAGAAATATTTTCCCAGCAGCTCAGACGAAGCTTTAGCTTCTGCTTCAGCTTTTAGCTTCAGGACGCTATCAGGCTGGAGGCGAGGGGAAGGGGGGGATTGAGCGGGAGCATTTTGCTCTTCCGCTGGTTTATAGCAGGAGACGGTACAAATGAGCCACTCTGACTACACGATTTCACAGGTTTTCACAAGGTGATCACACAAGCTCCGCTGTGTACCATTGTTTGCCCCTCATCAAATGGGGGCAATGCGCCCATTTATCAGTCTTTCTGCCCTTTACTAGACATACTTGTCGCAAATGTCACCTATAATGTGAAGGAAGTAAACAGATATCTTGGACAGGATTTCGCTCAGCCTAACTTCACCCTTTTTACATTTTCCGTGCGATGCCGTATAATTGAATTAAACCTATTCCGCAGGAATGACCTGCATACCAACTTGCTCGGGATGTCGCAATGTTTCCATGTGGGAGTGGGACCCAGAACGCGGTTGGTCAAAGCCGAATGGTATCGTTTTTATGGGTTGCGCTGTATATTTTTTCCAATACAACCAAATGAACATTCATCGTACAAGAATAAAAACTTTAGCACCGTAAAATGGGCGGCTCACAGAATCTCGGATAACCATCATCAGCTGAACCACTTCATGTATATGGTACAGTATCGTAATTTGTGAAATGGCGTTGTCCCCACTCTTAACTTCCTGCTCTAGTACTACCCCTTTTCCCATCCTGCGTACCATTTTCATAGGTTTTCTCAACCCATCACTTTTCCAAAATTTTTTCTAGTTTTTCCCTGCAAAAAATTTCTGCTGGGCGGGGCCAATTCGCTACCAAAATCACTACCAGAAATAGTAGCAGCGCAGTAGCTCTGCCTCTCCGCCAACTAAGGGGGTGGGGGAACAATAGTAAACACAAACTGGCAATAATCGAGAAAAGTCAGCAACAGGAAACAATTTTCTCGAAGGCAAATACGACACCCCTCCCTGTGACCAATCACGATTCCGTACGGGATGTTCAACGACGCTATACAAATTAGTGAAGGTACGAAATTGCCTAGAACATGCATTAAAGGTGAAGGTGACTATCTCTTTTCCTAAGGCAGCGTTAAAAGCAAAGCCTGCCATCATTCGCTATCCTAGATAGTACATTAGGGGGTCAATTATAGAAGACAAAGTTCTGAGTAACTCGCTAGTGAAGAAAAAAAAGCAGAAACAAATATGCTAGCTACCCTAGATAGAAACCCATTCCATCCCAGTTTGTACGTGCCCGATTAGCTTCATTCGACCG